CCCTCCTCCTCCTCTCCCCTCCCCCTTTCCCTCACCACCCACCAACTCCCTGGAGCCCCAGATATTCCTGCAGGAAGGTCAACTGAGGAGATGCAAATACTCCCAGAGGTCATCGTCCTGCTTTGGAGGGAGGGTTTGCTTGGCTGTCCCAAGGCCAGCTATTCTCTCTTTCCCCCTAACCTGTGCCTTCCAGGACCCCCATGAGGGGGGCGCTCACCTATACCCCTGTACAGCCCTGGAAGCCACTTCTCAGATCCCCTGCCATGCCCCCTCCACCCTAGGAGGCTGGTAAGTCAGACTCAGAGTGTCTTTCTGCTAAACACACTCAGCAACCTCCTCCCTAATGGCACAGACCAGTGTTCTAATCTCCCATTTATCATTGACCTCATCACAAACCATGCATTAAAATAAGGACACGGCAGACACTAATTGCATAAGAATTGTGTTAGCTTAAATCTCTCTCACACACACTTTGGAGAACACTGATGTTCCAGGCATCCTTCTTACTGCACTGCATTGGTAAGGTTCCTTATGGCCTACCAGGCCCTGCTGCCTTCCTGCAAACCAGGGCTTCTGGGGGCCTGGCTGGCAGGAGGAAACTGAGATAGAGAGGCTCTAAGCCAGGACTCACTGGAAACCAGGAGAGTGGCCCTAAACAACAGACACTTGTTCTCTCTCAGTTCTGGAGGCTGTAAGTGTGACGTGAAGGTGCACCAGGGCTCTGGAAGGCTGTAGGGAGTCTCCTTCCTGCCTCGTCCAGCTCCTGGTGGCTCCAGGCGTCCTTGGCTTGTGGTCATATCACTTCAGTCTCTGCCTCCATCTTCCCGTGGCCTCTCGCCACATGTCTGTGTTTTCTCCTCTCATTTTCCTTATAAGGACACTTGCCATTTGCTATAGAGCTCCCCCTAATCCAGGATGCTCTTGTATCAAGATCTGTAACTTAATTACATCTGCAAAGACCCTTTTCCCCAATAAGCTCACATTTACACATATCTCTCGGGGGTCGCCATCTGACCCACCACGCAGACCATCAGCTCATTTCCCTGGGAGGGAGCACACCCCCTCTCAGCCCCACCGCCCAGCCTCAGGCCCCTTGCGTGCTGCTGCCCAGGTTAGGGGGTGACCTCCCTGTCTGCAAGCCCCGGGGTCTGTGAGTGAGGGAAGGACAGAGGGATGGAATAAACGCTCCCTGCACCTCGCAAGGATTCGTGGTTTCAGGCCGGCGCAGCTCCCCATGAGCACCTGCTCTTTGCGAGGCTCTGTGCCGGCACCCTGGACAGAGAGGGTGAGGAAAACGTGCAGCCCCTTCCCGGGGCTTGCTGGAGGGAGCAAGTAATAAGGTACCACCACCAGGGGTGTGAGATGGGAAAGGGACCCTGGGCCTGCCTGTGCTCCAAAGCATGCCTGGCCTGGGTGCTTGGGAGCCTGTGGGGGCCCCTTCCATGTCACCCCTATGGTTTCTGAGTTTCTCACCTAGGCAGGAGCCCCTCACTCACTGGAGCCTGTGGCTAGAGCTGGGCCCCTTCTAGGTGGCTGTGGCAGGAGCATCCAGAAAGCCCTCCCAGACCCCAGATGGACCTGGGGAGCACAGACACCCACTCCTGTAGGATGTGGATCCCCCGAGTTATAGCTATTCCCCTCCATGCCTATCTCTGCCTGACTGCCCTTCAGGAGACCAGGGACTGGTCACACATCTGCGTCCCCAGCGCCCAGGCTGGCATGGAGTGGGTGGCAGCCTTGAAGAGGGAAGGAGGGAAGGAAGAAATGAATCAGTGAGCTAGCGGGGGAGGCCAGCTGGGCCGTGCAGGCTGGCCCCTGACTGTCTCGTGTGCCTTTCAGATGTGCTAGTGGATGGACAGCTGTGTGACCGTGAGGAAGCAGCGGCCTGCCAGGTGGGCGACCCAGTGCGTCTGGAGGTGCGGCTGACCAACCGGAGCCCATGCAGCGTGGGGCCCTTCGCCCTCACCGTGGTCCCCTTCCAGGACCACCAGAATGGCGTGCACAACTACGACCTGCATGACACCATCTCCTTCGTGGGCTCCAGCACCTTCTACCTGGATGCGGTACGTGGCGGTATACGGGGTGGCCTTGGAGCCTCCAGCCATGCACAGCCCAGGCCCTCACAGTCATTGGCCACTTCCCCAGGCAGCAGGCTTCGGAGTCTACGTGCGTCAGCTGATGCGAGGGCTCTGTTGCTGTGTGTGCTAACACTGCATCCACCCAACTCGCTGCGAGAGCTTAGACATCTTCACCTTTCTGTACCCCTGAGTCCTAGCTAATGAGACTGGGGTGATAATCCCCCTCCCCTGAGGATTGCTGAAGGTGGTAAAACTCACAGATGGTGGGGGCTGTGCCCAGGACAGAGCTGCTCAACGGGTCAGACCCTGCTTGCCGCATGGTGCCATGGTATCACCATCACCCGCCTCACGCCAGCCACTCCTCCTGCTCAGAGGGTGCTGCACGCCCAGCCCCAGGGACTGACGAAGCGCACAGAGTGCAGGCTCCAGTGCTCGCCCCCATGCCCCAGCCCACCTCTCAGCGCCTCACTGTTGCCCCAGTACAGGCCCACACTCCACTCACTGTCACCCCGGCCTCTCCCCACACTCCTGACGTCACTGAAGCCCCAAACAGTCCAGGGAGGCAAAAGTGGGTAGCTACTTTGAAAGACAAAATCTGAGGCTCAGAGAGGCTCAGCAACTTGCCCGAGGTAGCACAGCGAAGAAGCCCTAGAGCAGGCACTGGAGCCAGGCCTGGCCTCGCTTCCCCACAGCCTCACGTCCAGGCAGGTCCACGGGATTCCTGGTGGCTTTGCAGGCTCCATGCTACTGGTTTAGGCTTACGCCTCTTCCTCCTCTTGCTCAGGTGCAGCCGTCAGGCCAGTCGGCCTGCCTCGGGGCCCTCCTCTTCCTCTACACGGGCGACTTCTTCCTCCACATCCGGTTCCATGAGGACAGCACGAGCAAGGAGCTGCCACCTTCGTGGTTCTGCCTGCCCAGCGTGCATGTGCGCGCCCTGGAGGCACAGGCCTGAGCCTGCCCTGGTCCCTGTTCCTGACCCAGCCTGGCCCCCCACCCTGTGCTGGGCAAGGTCTTCCCTGCAGCTCCTTTCTCCTCCTCGCCCTCGTGCCTCCGCCCAGCCCTCTCCTCCCCTTTCTCGCGCAGCATCTGTTCTGGGCTGAGCAGGACCTGCAGACACGGCAGCCTCACCCCCTTTCCCCACTGTTTACCCGGCCCCCCCACAAAGGCTGTAGTTGACTAAACCCCAGAGGATAGAACCTACCCAGCCCAGGTCCAGGGGCCCCTGCACCTGCTCCCATGACCTGGGGACCCCAGCCCTGCTCTGCTGCTCCCACCCCTTTGGCTGTAGGAAGAAAAGGTGAGCATGTGGGTGGGCCCAGCCCAGTGGGCCTGGGGAGCTCCCCTCCCTCCCTTGGCCCTTGGAATGCCATGAGGGCTAGTTCTTTTTCTAGAGGCTCCTGTGGGCAGCCCAGGCAGGAGAGATGGCACCGTGGGTGGTCGTGTGTGGATGACACCAAGAGGGACCATCTGCTCACAGCAGGCAAATGTCCAGGCCTGTGCCAGGTGTTCTGAAGCCCACGGATGTTTGCACTCTCACCCCGGGCTGGGCTCTAGGTGCCGTGGCCTGTGTGTGTCTATGTCTGTACCGAGTACTTCAATAAAAGGCCTGACTCCCTCCGCTGCCCGCCGCTTCCCTGTGTCTGCCTAACCAGTGTGCTCTGGGGGCCGCCCCCACCTGGTCAGCAGAGGCCAGATCCGGGAAGGGATGGGGTCTTAGCTAGACTTCCCCCATAAGCAAGACGGGAATTTGGGCCCAAGGAGCTTGTCTGGGAGGTGGAGGGGCCTCCACAGGGGATTAGCCAGGAAAGGGAGCATTGCTGAGCTGCTACCACAGTGGGCAGCTACCCTGAACTCCCCAGGGAAACCTGGGGGAAAAATGAAAACACACCCCAGAATCATCCCACAGGGTGAGCACTGAGGTCTGTATATGCCAACTCCCGAGAGTCACGGCTTGGGGGCTCCTTCCTGGCTGTGGTCACTCCTGGCACTGTAGCCTGATGCCTGCAAGAGTGGGTCAGAGCTCCTCGGCACCCAGCGAGCATCAGCAGGCCTTGGGCCCCAGCAGACACCAGCCTTGTCAGGAGCCTCCGGGCACTGAAAGCCCCCAGGAATACCGGGGGTCAGGTCTGGGGCTTACCCAAGGCCACTTGGCCAAACAGGCAGAACCTGGAAGGGACTGCCCTGGTCCCCCATAGGGCAGTGTGTCATCTTGGCATCAGGAGCCTGTGGGGCTGGAGGAACTTCCCAAGGGCCTGAAACTCCAGGCCTTTGCCTCTCTGGGGCGAGCAGGGTCACCCTGCAGCCTCTGGGCCCAGGGAGTGGGTTTCTTGGCTACCCATCTGTGGCCTCCTGTTGTCACCTGGCAGATGGTGGGCAGCGCATTGTCATGCTATGTGGGCAACCCCCAGTCTCTCAAGCACATTCATCATCTGCCACAGCTCAAGGCTCCACAGGGAAAGCAACCGGGAAAGGTCATCTGCGGTAGGGGCTGGGGACCCTCCCCTAGAGCATTCCCCTCCAGGACAAGTCCGAGCAGGGATGGCCTGGCCACTCGGACTGTTTGTAAACAAAAACGTCTGTGTACATCAACAGAGACAGATCCCCAGATTATGCAGTTGAATGAAACAGCGCGTTTCCGAGTAACGGGTGCAGCCCAACCCACTCGTGTGAACGGTGTCCCCCCAGCTGTGCATTTTCTATGCATCGGAATGTGTCTAGAGAAACATGTTTAAAAGATGGAGAGGACACGTACCTCTCTTAGAATCGTGACCTTGACTGGGGTTGCAAGTGACACCTCATCTGGTGTCAGAATGAGGTCAAGGGGGACTTTGGTAATGTTTTACTTTCTTTTCAAATGTACAATAGATCAATAAAAATATAGATACAGATACAGATATGGATATAGTACAGATACAGATATTGATATAGGTACCAATATAGGTAAAGATACAGATATAGATACAGATACAGTTATAGATACAGATATGGATACAGCTATAGATGCAGACATAAATACAAACCTAGAACAGCTAACAGGGAAAACTCTGGCAGTATTTGATTCTGAGTGGCAAGCATATTGGTGATTATAATTCTCTTTTTAAGTTTTCTACATTTTTTTGTTTCCAAAAACACAAAAAATACAGCAGTTACCAGAGAAGATGCTGAATGCCACGAGAGAGGAGTCACAGGGGCAGGAGGCAAGATTGTCTTCTTGGAGGAGGGAGTGTTAGAAATAACCCAGGCACCTGGGAAAATGACCCAGATAAGGTCTGGCTGTGATGCCCCCAGGCCCTCCCCATGCCTGGGGCACCTTTCTGTCCTGGTGGAACAGGTGACCTGGAGTCAGGGCAAGGAAGGCCCTGGGTGTGCTGTGAGCACTCAGAGCTTTGTCGTGGGGACGTGGGGAGGCAGGGAACCGTTCTGAGCAGGGGTGCTGTTTGCTGGCGTTCCTGTGGCTGAATTATTCTGGCCGTGGAGCTGTGTTAGTATGCGGCGGCTGAGACAGAGGACCTGAGACAGGTGTCACAGTGACAGCGCAGTGTCCTCTCGGTTCTTCCAGGGGCCCAAGCTGTCAGCTCCTCAGAAGCCCTACAGCTGGTGCTTCCCTAGGCCCCTGGTGTATCTAGAAACCTCTTTCCTCCTGAGGGCCAGACGAGGCTGAGCCAGGAATAGACCGTGTCCATTTCACTTCACCAGCTGAGTGGGTTGCTTTTGCCCTTCTGATACTTGTTCCCTTTGGGCAGGACAAGCCTGCAGTGCCCCTGTAATCACCCAACCGTCACTCTCTGTCATCTGAAATTCACAAGGAAGAGCGAGGATTCAGAGGAAGATGTCTGAGAAGCTGAATTCCAGCTCGGCCACTTGTCAACTCGGTGACCTCAGACAAATTACTTAAATTAAGCCTTGATTTTTTTCATCTAAATAAATGCAGATAAAAATACTTTTTTCCTGGGTACTTTTTCAATTAATAGTTAGTTTGATTTAGTCTCCTTGATTTCCCTAGCACGTGATAGCAACTTCCCAATAAATACTGGTCCCTTTATCCTAGCCTTCCCATTGCCTTTCTGTTTAATTCCAACCATATGTCATGTGCCTGAAATTCCAGCATTCTCCTGGACCCTTAACGTGTGACATTGCTGTGCCCCATTGGTCCCCTGCATAGGTTAATTCACTAGATAACACGAAGTAATATAAGGCAGAACTAACACAAATGCTTAAATGGGAAAGAGTCTGCATGATGAAGGAGTGAGTTCTTTGTTACTAGAGGTATTCAAGCAAAGCCTGGACTTGTAGATAGTTTCAAAAAACTTAAGCATCATATGGGGCCTCTGAACCTGCCAGCCCAGAAAACCACCGTCATTATGGCATCTTAAGAGCCAGCCATGATTCCAGTAAGCAGGGAAGAGAGAGTGAGATGTTTGTAGCCACCCGGCTCCTGGGGTCTCTAAACTATGTCTTAAGGGATTAAGACAATAAATACAGATCAAAAAAAGGCTTTCAGCATGAGGGACTACAGACCCAGACTAGGGGTCCAGACTAAGCCTCTTACTGAAAACAACTAAAAAGCCTCTTAGTGAAAAGAACTAAAAAAGGTGTTTATAAGGACATCCGTGAGCCAGCAAGACAGTAGGAAATACTCAGCCCAGTACCTGCGTGTGGGCAAAATCCAGAGAGGTGAAGTGTGCACTGATGCCAAATTTCACTTTGAGGGTTTTTGCCAAAATAGGAGCATCAATTTTTGCAGCCTTATGAAACTGGATGAAAGAAGAAAAAATACAGGACCCACGAGGTGGGGAATCTAATAGGAGACTGCTCCCCATTAATTTGGGGACCAAAGGATTACATTGTTAGCAAAGGGTGAACTAAAAATAATCCTCTTCCCACCCTACTTGGAGAGTGGAAATAAAACTGCCCTGTCTTGACTCTTCGATTGCAACCTAAATTGGCCCTCTCATGAATTTGCAGTCTCAAATTGCACTCCATAAATGCCTTTCCCAAACCTCAGGTTATTAATTTCAAAGTGGTCCTAGACAGATAGCACCTGTTCACACACAAATGTAGCAGACATCTTACAGAAGTAAACACATCCTTTCTGGAGGAATCCACTTTTATCCCAAACCTACAAGGATTTCTACAAGGAACATGAATAATTCAGAGTTTATAAACAAAGAAAGTCATTAAATACACAAAGAAACAATGTTTCATGAGGGAGAGCAGGAATATAAAAAATCAGATGCAGGCTTGAAAAAGAACCAGATATTGGGCTTATCAGACAGACTATAGAACAAATATGCTTAATATGTTACAAGAAATTAAAAAGAAGATTAAAACGGGTAAAGAACCAGCACATCACAAAAGAATCAAACAGGACTTCTATAACTGAAAATGAATTGAAATAAAATATTTAATGAATAGATTGAAGAGCAGATTAAACCCATTTCAAGAATTATTGAATGAAAGATAGAACTGAAAATGTTATAAAAATGCATCCCAGAAAACCCAGAAAATATGAAAAAGACTTAAAACATGGAGGGAAAAGTGAGAAGCTCTCATATATATCTAATCAGAGTTTCTGGAGGAAAGGATAAAGAAAATGGAGAAAAGGCAGTATTTGAAGAAATAATGACTGAGGACTTCTCAGAACTGATAAGGACAAAAATCTACAGGTTCAAGAAGCCCAACAAATTCCAAGTAGCATAACATTTAAAATACAAAATTGACACATGATAATGCAATTTCAGAAGATCAGATCCAAAGGGATTATCTTAAAAGGATCTAGAAAGACAAGACAAATTACTTTCAAAGAAGTGGCTATTGATTGACAGCTGACTTCTCGCCTGCAACAATGGAGTCCAGAAGTTAGTGGGATAATACCTGAGAATGTACTGAGTAACAAAAATACTATTCAATAGGTGGAACAATGACATTTTCATATAAACAAAAATAGAATTTTCCACCACCAAAATTTCATTAAAGGGAATTTGAAAGAATGAACTATAGGCAGAAGGAAATTGATACCAGATGGAATGTCAGAGATGCAGGAAAGATGGGAGAACAAATTAAGTGATACATATGTGGGTAAATCTAAACAAGTATTTACAGTATAAATAATAATTGTGAGCTATGGAGTTATAGTAGAATTAACGTATATAGCAAAATAACACATAAATGTTGATGATGGGATGATTGGAATTAAAGTATTATAAGGCCATTTGATTTCAGTTTCAAAGGTTCAAGAGAAGGGTAAAGATGTTGATTAACTTGAGACTTGGGCTTTGGTGCTTTAATTATGGAAGTTAAAATTTCTGGGGTAACCAATAGGAAAATAGCACAAACAACTTCTGAATTAGTGAATTTCAAAAATTAAAGTAAGGGAAACTAATCAACCAGCCTAAAAGAAGACAAGAAATGAAAGAAAAAGAACTATTCCTTCCCCTTGAGATACATAGGTATGTATTTAAAACTTCCTTACAAAAGTCTTTAAAGTAGATATTATACCCATATTACAGAAAAAATGAGGCACAAAGCAGTTACATTAACAGCTAGAAAGTGATTATAAAATAAATTGTAGAAATTATGTATATAAGCACTTATAATAAAATA